TATTGGATAGTACTGCTGCACATTTAATCTATGAACCTATAAGAAATCCAAACATGAGGTTTTGCTTTTTATGTAGTTGTAGTATTGTATTGTCTTTGATATTCAATTTTGTTGAGTTATGAGGGTGTGTCACTGTATACCTGTGCACCATTAGATCTGATTTACACAGATTCAGATGGGAACTTTTTCCTGAAATTAAAAACGCTTGAAGAAAAAAAAAAAAGTAAATGTGGATTTCCATAGACTTTTAGAAAAAGGTTTTAATACAAGCCATCTTTAAAAGAATCTTCCTGCCAAATATTTGAAAGGCACCTTTTGTTGTTTCTGCCAAATCGCCCTCTTACCTGTCAGGAGCATTGACAGCCTGTGGAGGGTTCTTCAGGTAATCTTTGAATCGAATCTCAAATGCCTGGCCAATGGTTGTGATGGTATCTTGGGCCAGACCTCCAAGGCATTCAAGAATATGACAGGCTACGGGTGAAACAAAACAAAGAAATCAAAGGAATGGAGGTGGAGCAGGGGACACTGGACCCAATGCAAGCAGGTACTGGCTTCATAGCTAAGGTGTAAATGTTATTCTTACAGGTTCTTTGGGAAACTACAAAAGGAATAGGAAAAATGTCTATTTCTATAATATGTGGAAATTTCCTGGGTGACTATTTCATTGATACACATTCATGATTTAACACAATGTAGTCCTGAAACTAAATACCTCAGGAAATGCATGATTAACATTGATTGATCGCAATTAAGGTCTTCTAAATGGAGCAATGAAAACAGTGCAGCAGGACAAAATCAACATTTCCACCATGACACAATTAATTTAATGGGAAGGATTACAATTCCTAGCATAAATCTCCCCCAAAACCTCTGTAAACTGGAAAGTGACTGTTACCTCTTCCATTGACTGGATCTTTACCAACATAAGCAACATAATCTGCTGTTTCCTGAAAGTAAAACAGAGAACAGAATACCAAATTGGATACTAGCACCATTGGACAGTACCTCAGCATAAATTCATAATTATTGTGGTTATAATACGGAGATGTCTTGTTTGGGTTGTACAGTGGTACTTTATTTGACTTTCTCTTTGCTGTACCTGGTTGGAATACACCCTGGTACACCATGTGGATTGCTCTCTTGGTCTCTGCATGAACAGATGAGTTATTGTCCTTTCAAAAAAGGAACTCTTAGATTTCCTTCAGCTCTTAGAACTGACGTCTTTATTCAAAGGAATTTCTATGTTGCGTACTGAAATTTTCACAAAAATGAAGAAATTCTCTGCTATGTATAAATCGATATAAACCCAAATTCCCAAATTCTACACTGAAACCAATACTTACTGCATCTCCTCCTGAAGCGAATGAGATTCCTTGCATCTGATGGCTGGCAATAACCTACACATGCAGCGAAGGACAAACGTTACAGGTAAGGTACATGTACTTGCAAGCTTCTATTATAATATTCAACAGTTATGGATCATTTACTTCAGGTTCAAATAAAATATCTTTTGCACGATACCACACAATCATGATGCACTTGGAAGTGTTTTGATTAACGTAAATTGTTAAAATGGTTGATGGTCAATTATATTGAAAGTGGAGTCTCAAAATGACAACACTGTTGAAATTTTTCTTTCACATTAACATCTCCAGGAATTTTTAAGAACCATCCTGAATCTACTGCAATCTAATGCTGTGCAATGAGCTCATCTTTGCACTAAAGATTTGGCCATGAAGCCTCATGGTATACATGTAGTATGTACATTCCTGAATCCATCAAAGACTGTCAAACCAGGCAATGGATTCTTACAAGCTTACATGGCCAGGTGTGGTCAAAGTTAACAAACAATCAATGGTGTCTAGGGAGTGAAAACACAATTACCACCCTGACCAGCTTCACAATCACAAATACATGTACTTTGAATTCAGCAGATGCCAGACATGTACATGTATGTTCTTCATGGTTCTGGCTTCATGACACGTGCACCCGTACATAAACATTCAATGATCCATGTTTCATAAATTTCTTCCGATGGCTTTCCTATTACCGTACATACAGGTATTGTCATTGCTACAGGAATACTCAGGTTACAAGAATTAATCACCATACCACCTGCTTATTGAGATCTGTCGGAGTAGCCATGCATAACGGCAAATCTCTCATTTCATATGACAGGGACATATACACTGTAATCCATCAACCATAACAAAATCTATGTACCGGTAAGTTGTGACAAGAGTGCCTTATGAAAAGATGACAATCCACACTTTTCAAACGGTCTTGGTTTGATTGATGAGAAGGATTGTCCAAAAGTGACACTAGTGTCTGATGCACAGGTCAAAGATTTCTGCACACTAGAAGTGATTTGCAAAAATCATCAGAGAAACTAAAGGTTAGGCACAACATTATGTTTGTGACTTTAACTACTCTGTACATGCCCATTGGAAGCCACAGCCTAGGGGCTGCAGCCACTTCTCACAGACGTGACCACAGCAAATTGATTTAGAAATGGCTTCATACTTGTAAGCATAGTGCCCAGAGCCACTAAATGTACACAGCCAATATACTGAATTCACAACCTGTAGGATCAACCCTTCCATGCATGACCTATGGACTACAGTAAGATCATTTTGGCCAACACTTTCTATCAACATTCATTGTTGTACCCAAGCTCATGTGCTTGCTGTTCAAGATCACAGTCTCAGTTCTGTGCCCATTTAAATGAAAATAAGTGGTATCCCTTGCCTTCCTTGTCCCTAACATACATTTACATGCAGGCATATCCATGATGAAGAGACTGCAAGCCAGTAAATTTATACATAAAGTGTAAGTCTTTAATAAGCTGGTGCTATAAGTAAGGAAGTTATGCTACTTCCATATTTATACCTGGCCTGTTTCCATGATTGTCAGAGTGATACTAGATGTTGAGATAGTCAGGTTGACATTAGCTCTTCCAAACTGGATGTTTGGAACATCACCCAGAATCTTATTCACAGCTTTGCTACCCTGCACAAAACAAAAGAGACATGAGTTCACAACTCAGGTCATTCCTTTAATCAGAGAGACATGAGTTCACAACTCAGGTCATTCCATTTAAGACTTAAAGGTTTTCATGGTGAAAGAAACTAGATCTATAGTAAAGATTGCGGTAACACCATGCCTCACTGGACAAGCAGATATCCGCCACCCACGACCAGCTCCAATCCAGCATTTCTACATCCGACTACTGCAAGGTTCAAGAGCTCACCACAGCCGCCAGCGACCATGCTTTCAATGTATCCCGCAACAAGCAAATCAAGAAATTTCTCAAGATCTCCAAGCCCAAGGCCCGCAGCAGTTCCAGCCCCACCCGCATCCCGGCAATGGGATCGCCTATATCCCA